ACATGTAGCTCGCAAGCTCATTCCGACCAATGATCAGAGCTCTGATTTCATTAGCCGACTTGCGCACTCGATGAAGGTCCCCAGAGCGAGAGTAGTACAGCAAGCCTTGCTGACAATCTGTTCCATATCTCTCCGACATCATCAGCATGTACATCATCGTTTGAGCGCGATGCTCCAGATTGGCGAAAGCTCGACCAGTCTTGAGCTCTAGCGGCATCACGAACGTTTGAACGCCGCCCGACCCTAGGGCGGTGGTTTGAAACGCACGAAGCGGACCGCTGGCCGCGCGATGGATGTTGCCCGCATTCCGCTGAAGGCCAGCGTTCGGAAACACGGCAGAGACCGCCCGGCCCGACGCCTGCTGTCGCGGAGGTGGCTGCTTGGCCCAAGTTTCTTGTACTTCCACTTCCACAGAGATGTCGACAAAGCCTTTCAGGCCGTACATGGGTGACCAAATATCCTCTTCCACTTCCAGTACGCGACGTATGCGGACGCGCGGTGGTGACTCTGAGCGAGAGTCTATGGCGACGGCATCGTGCTGGTGGCGGCCGAGATGAAGACCGACATTTACGAGTCAGCTGCCTTCGTCTTCAAAGGGCAGGATACGTGGGCTAGTGTACTCACAGGAATATCTCCTTCGGGTGAAGCAAGATACTTGAAGGCAAATTCGCCGAATGGCTTGACAGCCTCCACCAGATGCTCACGAGCCACCTGAGTGTCAAGTCCAGCATCTGTGAGGTCTTCGAGACATGCGTCGACTTGAGCACAGATCTGTTCCGCGACAAAAGACGCCGAGAAGTTCGTCGGAGGCACGCCGTTCCATGTGGGTGGAAAACACTCCGGCATCTCGAGCGATGGTAGCATTCGGAAGCCGCTAGGGGAGGGGCTCCCTTCACAGGTACTTGGCAAAGCTGTGCCAGTCAGACAAGACTGGAGCACGACGTGCAGCATGGCACCCATGACGAGCGCTTCGGATGTTGCGCCATCCGCTGCGGATGCCCGCAGACGGGACGAGATGAGCGGTTTGCGCAGGCAAGTCGAGACGTTTGAAATCGAAGTCGCAGACAGCAGGAGATCGGGATGCAGAATGAGCAAATTCTTACAAGGAGGGTGCCCACTTGCGTCGAGGGCTCCAGAGCTTGAGAGAATCATTAGAGGTAATTTGGTGGGTGTGCTCGAAGGCAAGGTGCAGTCCAAGTTCGCCCACAGCGACATGTCGTCGTCATCATCTTCGTCCACCTCGACAATGGCCAAGTCTGGCTTTGAAACGGGATGTCCATTGACCTGGCTCGCAGGTCCAGCTTGAGCTGACGCAGAAGAGCTTGAGTTTCCTGTGACGCTTGGTGCATCTTCGAAATCGTCGAACGCCTCCGACCAGTGTCCAATGAGGTGAACGTAGTCACCTACTCGAATTCGCTCTGCAAGGCTCAGCCATTCGTCTCGTAGATAGACTTTGCGCCGGGCGCCATGTTCGTCTGCTCGCACAAAATTCTGGTCCCGGATGTCTAAGGGAGCTCTCTCTTCCACATTCAGCACCACCTGTCTCCTCGTTCTCATTTTATCCACTGTCGACGCAGATATCAAGGCAGGTGGAGCGGATGCCGCAGCTGAGAGGGTTGAAGCGGGTATGAAATTGTCCTGACCGATGTTGAGCACCTTTGCGCGCACATAGCTTCGTGCTGCTTCCCTTTCTCGCCCTCGCTTTTCGCGATACTCCGCCGCAGACGACTTGTGTGCCTGTCCTTGTACAGCAGACTCTATTCGTGAGGATGCAAAGTATCCGCATATTGCATCACAAGTGAAGGCACTCACGAATGAAGAAGCAAGCGTCTGGTCGGAAAAGCTCCCACCTCTTTCCTCAGCCTGCTCCCGGGCCATACGAATGGCATCTTTTCTGCTCCTTGCAGCCGCCTTCTCATCATACCGCTCATCAGACTCGGCCGCGATCTGCTTGGTCGACGAGGTGGGAGCTGACTGCGACGTTCTCAGACAGCTACTTGAGCCTGCATCATCCCCAGGCTCGTCCTTGACTTGCGTGCGCACCCGAAGCTCTGCAGATGCATGACCGAGCTTGGGTCGCTTGTGAGCAGCAGGGCTTCTGCGAGCAGGCGAAATGCTCCGAATGCGTTGTTGGCTCGACTGCGCAGCTTCCAGGGAGCACGATTTCTTGGGGGGCGATTGCGATGGAGGCAGATCGAACACCGACGCGTCCACATCGGCCAAGAGGTGGGCCATGAACGCGTCCATGTCGGCCTTTGAGGGGCCGGCTCTTGAGGGGCCCATGGCCGTCCGGGTGTGCGGCGAATGGGCTGTTTGTGCCTTTGCGTCAAGACAGCTACAAATGGATCAGGGATCTTCTGCTAATCAAGTCTAGCGGATTATATCGTGACGTGACTGTAATGGTAGCATTCGGCAAGATCGGAGCATTGGAGGTGCGATGGTCGAGTGTCAAGACGAAAAAGAATGATCCTCCTCTTGATGTCTGAAACATGCAAGTCGTGTTGCTCTCAATCAGTGAATGATGTACGCGCTGCGCGTTGACTTGAGCGCGACAGCGCGTCGCGCGTATGGGCGTGTACGCCGCGGCGGTATTGATTTGGTGATGGGCCGCGGCACGATCCCCGCTCGTCACGCGCATGCATGCATGACAGCATTCGCTATATATATAGAGGTATACATTCTGGATTTGATTCAACATTCAAAATTATCTACATCTACATCAGGCGGCGATACACAGAAAACCGGACTGAGTGAGTCTGGAGTGCTTGAACCGCCTCAAAACACGCGCTTGATGGTCATGCTTCGCGCACGTCATCACCAAAACCCCCCATCCAGCACAACACCAGAACAAGGACACGCACGAGCGCGATTCAGCCCAATCACGAATGATGACGACGCGCCGAGCCGAGGGTGGGCCACGAGATCGAGATGTCCCGACCACTCTCGCAACCGCGTTCCGGCACGTTTGCCTCACAATCGCAAGCCGGTCCTTCACAGCCTAGTCAAAGAGTCGCTCGTCCAGAGTGCGAGGTTTGCGGCGTCCGCAAGTTCAGAAAGGATGCCTCCACTGGTCTGATCAATTGCATCAATGGACACGTCTTGCAGGGCTTCAGGGAAGAGACGGCAGATGATGATGACTTCAATCCGGCGGGAATGCGCAAGAGGGGGACGGGAACGGGAAGAAAGAGACCAAAGAAGAGGAGGTACAGATTGCAGTCGGGAGTGTGGCATGGCGAACGAGGCCAATTCGCTTTGTACCAATGCTTGCAGCTTCTGCTCCGCTGGCAGCTGGCAGCCTTGCATCACGAGTGGCCCGACCTGCCAGACGTAGTCGAGGTGAGTGTGTTGAGCTCGATGGATTCATCGATGACTGCTTGTCACACTTACAGTCTCATGCAATCTCCTCTAGCCGATAGCGCGAGATCTTTGGGCTCTCTACGTCTCTTGTCTGCCCAAGCTGCGTCCTGCGCCATTTTTGGAGCAGGAACGGCGAGCCAAAGAGCAAGAGAGCGGGCAGACGATCGAGGACCTCGCAGATTTAGCTGCCAAGGAACGGCAAGACGACGAAGCTCGTCGGGCTTTCAGAAGGCGCATGAGAGAGGTCACAGACGGTTCTGACTTTGATAGCGAAACCACCTCGTCTGGCAGCTCGTCCACTTCAGATGACCGCGAAAACGTCGAGAGACCATCTCCGTCACGTGCCAAGCGTGACCGCACACCGGGAACTAGCAAACACTCGACTCGCGGGCGGTGGAACGAGGGAGTACAGGCAGTGTCGGCAGAATCGCCAAAGAGCAGCGCCGCTGAGAAAAGAAGAGGGGATCTCTATGGTCAAGTCGCAGACGATTCGCTCCCACCACTGGCTCCGTCCGCTCAGGACAGCCGAGCTAGGCTGCGCGCTCAAGAAGTGTCGGAAAGAGATCAGGCACTCAGAACGATGGTGAACCCCACTATGAGCACTCTAGCCACTGTCTACCTTGCTTTGATCACGGCACGCGTGCCGGTCCTATGGGCTGACCTCATCGCGTGAGTTGTTGCACAGCCTGGACCTTCGAAGCCCAACAAGGGCTGAGTTTGCGGACCGCGTCCGGCTGACACGCTAAGCCACGTCTTTTCAGCTTGGTCGAGCAACGCCGTCTGCCGTATCTCGATGCCCTGCATATCCTTCCACCAGACATTGTGGCACCTCTTCCGGGCAGAGCCATCAAAGCTCTTGAGCCTCGCGTGAGTGATGCGAGGGCATGCGCAAAGGTCATCATTCTCTTATCAAGGCCTACCGCTTCGACATCTATCGCAAGCACGTTCCCACCATCGAGGAGCTATCGAAACGCGCTTGCAATATCGCAGAAGCCTTGAACATCGACTTTTGCGTCACGTTTCCTCAGCTGAATGCAGCGCCTGTACTTTGGCGCTGCGTAGATCACCTTCTGCTTCCACGTGAGTCCTGGTTGTGCTTTCATCCTTTACTAAATAGTGATTAACAGAAGGACGAGTTGTTGTTCTTCAGCGACTTTTTACACTGCTGCAAAGAGCCTCGTCCATCTTGTCGGAATAGAGATGCTCGCGGTGGGCCGAGACGCTTCCGAGCTCGGAACATCTGAGCGAAACATCGATTTGCAAAGCGCGGAGCGTATAGGCTATGCGTTCCAGCGCAGCTGGCTGCCAATGTCGCCTGAGACTCTTCGCGCAACGTCACCCTGCATGCTGCTTATGGCGGCCGTTGTGATCGTAATCAAGCTGCGCTATGGTCTTGATGGTTACACCAGGTGAATTGATCCTTGAAAATTGCCTAGCCGTTATCAACGTTACTGATTTTGAGAGCTGCTTAGAACGGAAACCGAAAATGGTCCCAAGAACTGCGAGACGGCCGCTCCTAATATTCTGCGCTGGCTTACATTGCTTGAAGAGTCGGATGTGCGCGCTCAGTCTCACATTTCTTCAGCTCACAACGTAGACCTGTAAGTCATTCTCGCAACGCTCGACACGCTGGGCAGCTTTAGAGCTGAACGCGCACCTTGCAACTCCAAAACCCTTCGCCGCCACCCAGAGACATTATCGATCTGGACGATGCTGGGGTCGACGCATTCCTAGACTTTGCCGAAGAGAGTCTCCTCTTGCCCAACCACCCAAACAATTTGTGGTGGCGGCAAGTAAAAGGTCAGAATGATGCGAGACTTCTCTTTCGTGGGCCCTTTCGTTGCAGCTCACTCCTCAGAACTTCTCGGTTCAGACGTGGACGACATCTTCAGCTTTGCGCCGGTGCAAAGTGAGGATACACCACCACGAGGTAGAGCTACGAGCGAGACTGAAGCACACGCGCCATCGCCAAGTGAAGTGCGTGACCAGGCGCTGAGGCAAGCGCGCTCGAAGCTATGGTCTTCGGTTCCAGTGTCCGATTCAGCCTCGCGCCCTTCGGCGCGCGCAGCCAAGTCGAGCAGACCACTGGAGTGCGGTTCCTCCTACTACCTTTTCCGAGGTATGGCGCTTGGCGAGCTTCCGGAGAGCGCACAGAGGGTTCTGGTCGCAGCGTCCAGCATCGTAGCTTGCGACCCGCTCAAGATGCTTGAAGTTGTGGCAGAATTGGAGAGAGTGCTCGTGGTGGCACTCTTGCAGCGCAGGAGGCTTTGGAGTAGGGTGAAGAGACGCAGACAGAAGAGGAGGGAAGAGAGAAGACGGGAGAGGGAAAGAGAGGGCAGTGAGCAGAGCGAAAGAAGTGAGGAAGAAGATGAGGACGAGGAACACGAAAGCGAGGGGCAGGAGGAGGAGGAGAGTGATGTAGAGATGTCGTAAACTTCACCACGACGGCACAAAGCCTTCCCCCAAGATCCCTCTTACAACGCCTCTCCCCATGCACTGCCTATCGAGAAATTTGCCGATGTTGAGGATGATGCTGATGCTCGATATCAAACATGTATTAGCTAAAGTCTGAAGTCTGACTGCATGACTCCATCCAAGGAGTGAATGGCAGCATCGCGATGCGTAAAGTCCCGGGTGATAATGGCAGTCCAAGAGTGCAGCGTGGGAATTCACTCAGAGTCCAAAGTTGGGGCATTCACGTACGCATTTGACTGACCGTACGTGTGGCAGCTACCCAAGGGAGTACAGCTAGCCTGCGCTAGATCCCTTGCATGACAGCATGGCACTGTGCTCTATGTACCGTATGTTGACTTGAAGG